CTTCTAATTTTTTCAGGTAAAAAGGAGAAACTATGTAAACGCCCTTCATAAGGGGGGGGAGAGAGCGGCATAGGCGGAGCAGATGGAGTTGCTATCGCTTTTGCTGAGGCCTTGCCCTTGGGTAGCAGTTTAGAGAAAAACTCCCCATCCGGGTGATATCTCTCCGCCTCGTACTTTGTAGCCTCTTCTTCTAGTTCTGTCTCATCTCCAGGGCCTAGAGAGTCTTGTTCGGAATCAGAAGACTCAGAACTGGCGGAGCTGCCGAGGTTCAGCGCCTCCAGTTCTTTAAAAGGATACATTTGACCTGTCCCTTTAGTGGAAAGGCCAGGAAGGGCATCTGGTTTTGCTATAATGTTCTCTCCTAAAACAGGAGGGCTCTTTTTCTTAGTTTTTCTTTTGTATACCTCCGTTTTCTCGCGCGCGCCTGACCTCTCACTACGTTCGGTTTCTGACATGCTATCCTGGGTTACCTCGAGAATGGCCTGACCCTCTACAACGGCCGCCTGGCAAGCTTCATCCTCAATACAGTTCTTCACTAGTTTCCATACTGCCTTGGTCCCTATCCTTAGGTCTCTTTGCTCTAGGTGTCGATCAAGATCCCTCCCCAACTTATTCCATGATGCCAGGGTGAGAGAGCCAGAAAGGGCATACCAGGGTGCCACACGATCGACCTCCTTGACAAAGCTCCGTAACGTCTTTCTGTCAACCTTGATATTCCTCTGCTTTAATACAGTCTCCAAGGTAGTTAATATGGATTGAGAGGACCCCATGGTGGCTGCAGCTTACCTACGTCTGACTAATCACCACCGTTACCAATGGTACAGATGCTCGCGGCTTATCTACGTCCGTCTTACAGCAAATGGGGAAAAACGAAAGCAAAGGACAGAAGAGACTGTTCAGGCCCCTTTATCTACAGGAGGCTTAGGTGACCAGTATAAAGAAGACAAGAACAATACCAAGGAGGACGATTGCTTCAGGCAAACCCTCCCAAGGTGGAGACAACCCCAGACCAAAGTCCCAGATCAGCATACCTCTCCGAACTTACCTGCCTGCAGTTCTGAATCCTCCTCGTTTCCAAGGGGTCTTCGATGGTGCGGACGATGGCTTGGTCAGTTTCCCGGGTTTCGGCACCAGTTGTCCCGCGCTCTATCTCGCCCGCAAGAATGACGCGGCACACGATCAGGATCCTTCTGCAGTAAGCTTTATTGCTCCTGAGAGGAGGAGCATAAGCTATCACAAAGCGAAGACCCCACGCCCTAACGGGACTCTCCTTATATAGAGAGTTTCTCTCGCCTCGGACGTGGCAGTTAATTACTGGTCCAATTATGTCACCCGAGGTGACGTAAGGCACAGGCACCCCCGGCCTCCTGGGCAGGGAGCTCCTGCTCATGCGCAGCAGGGTTGTCATTGCAACTGTCAGGCGGATGTCAGCGCCATCTCGCCATGGCGTGGTTCCAGGGCAGCGCCCAACAGTCATGTCTGCAAAATTGGAAAATTCCCAGCTGTACGTCATGATCATGTCGGAAAACTGCCTCTCAGCCTTGGCGTGTAAAATGTAAAATGTGGGCTGGAGAGTTAGTTTAGCAAGCAAAGACACTTAGCACCGAGCCTGAGGGCTTCAGTTCGATCCCTTGGACTCACATCCTGGAAGGAGAGAACGTATGTCTGAATGCTGTCCTCTGACGCATGCGCACATGCACATACAAAACCAAATAAATGTAATAGATTTAAAATGGGGGTAGCTTGGAGACCTGGACTCTTCACTGTCCTTTCTCTATACCACTCCGTTTTTTATTGTCTCCAGAGATTGAGTCAACAAAGATGGATTCCCATCCTTGTCACAGAAATCCAGATGGGAAACCCCAGCAGCGTTTGCTGCAGTCCCTGCCTCCTTCCTTTTCTTCCAAGGTTCCCTCCTAAGCTAGTCTTTTCTTCCCCCACTCCCCTCCTGCCTTCCCTTCCCTTCTCTTCCAACCATCCATCCCCACACCCATGAGGTTCTCAGAATGTGGTCCAGGCTGCCTTCAACTCAATCCTCCTGCTCAGCCTCTGAGTGCTGGGATTACAGGTGTGCTCCATCACACCCAGTATTCCTGCTTTTCCCCAAGATCCGTGTTTTTCTTTATTCCAAGACAGCTTCTCTATGTACAGCCCTGGCTGTCCTGGAACTTGCTCTGTAGACCAGGCTGGTCTTCAACTCACAGAGATCCTCCTGCCTCTGCCTTCTGAGTGCTGGAATTAAAGGCCTTTCTACCATGCCTGGCAGATGGTTATGTTTTTCAATTTTAAGTCATTTATTCTTGCAGCCATACGATTGCTTGGCCAGTAGGGGGTGATCAAGACTCAGTTTTTCCTAGAAGACAGCAGGTGTCCTACTCATGGCCATTCTGTTCATGTCCTGGAGTTTTCAGGTGGGTGGGCACAGGTGCTGGGAGGCTTGCACAGAGAAGCACGGAAGCCCACGCATGTCTTCTGGAGTGTTCACTTGTATCATATGGTGCTGGCTAGTTTTATGTCAACTTGACACAAGGTAGAGTCAACTGAGAAAAGAAATGTCCTCGTAAGACCTGGCTGTAGGCAAGCCTGTAGGGCATTTTCTTAATTCATGATGGATAGAAGAGCACAGTCCACTGTGGGTGGGTCCAACCCTAGGCTGGAAGTCCTGGGTGGGTTCCATAAGAAGGCAGGCTGAACAGCCAATAAACAACACTGTTCCATGGCCTCTCCTGCATCCAGGTTCCTGCCTAGTTTGAGGTCCTGCCTTGGCTTCCCTCAGATGAGAAAGTGGAAGCCAAGTAAACCCTTTCCTTCACAAGTTGTTTGTGGCCATGGTGTCTCTTCACAGCAGTAGTACAGTAATTAAGATATCTATCCTTTAAATGATTGTGTGCGTGTTTTGCTTAAATTTATATCAGTACACCCCACAAGTGCCTGATGCCCTTAGAGGCCAGAAGAGGGTGTTGGGATCCTTGAGACTGGATTATAGATGGTTCACTGATTCACAGCTAGCCAAAAATCCAGGGGGCATCTGAAGTGAGGACAGATTTGTGGGATCGAGTTCCTCATCCTGTGGGGTCTGCACTAACTTCATTCAGCCATAGGTATCCAGAGAACCCTGAAACCAAACCAACCAGTGTTCTAAGTAGGAGGTTCCTCTTTAGGGTTTGGGATGGTCTCACTGTCCGGCCTGGAGTCTGCTCTGTAAACCAGGGTGCTCTTCAATTTGCAACGATCCTACCTCTGCCTCCCAAGTGCTGGGATCCAGGAGTATACCACCATGCTCAGCTTTTTGTTTTTAACGTGAAAATCATTTTTTAAAGAATGATTTGCCTACATGTATGTATGTATATGCACCACATGTGTGCCCCGTTGTCTTTGGGGGTCACTGGACACCCCTGGAACTGGAATTATAGGCAGTTGTGAACCTCTGTGTTGGTGCTGGGAACTGAAACTGTCCAAAGAGCAGCAAGTGTTCATTACCTCTGAGCCATTGCTCCAATGCTATTTTTTAAAATATACATGCTACTTGCTTTTTTGTTTACTCCACCACATCTCTGAAAAGCAAGCAGAGCAGGAACAAGTATACTGCCTTAGTTGGAAATTGAAGCAAAGCCGGGCATTGGTGGTGTACACCTTTAATCCCAGCGCTTGGGAGGCAGAGGCAGGTGGATCTCTGTGAGTTTGAGGCCAGCCTGGTCTACAGAGTAAATTCCAGGACAACCTCCAAAGCGACACAGAGAAACCCTGTTTCAAAAACAAACAACAACAAAAATTGAAGCAAACTAAATCTGAGTACTTTAAACCAACCTTTCAGAGTTTCAGGATAGGAAGAGTAATCAGTTGTTTAATCGTGACAAAGGAAAACAAATGTCAACTCTGTGTAAGAATTTGGTGGATTGTAGTTCCGGTATAAAGTATTTATGCATGTTTATGCATACCTGTTCGTGCACTTGCTCTCAGGCTAGAAGAGTGTGTAGGAATCCCCCAGAGCTGGAGTCACAGGGAACTATGAGCTGCCTGAGTAGGTCCTCTGAAAGAGCTAGTGCTCTTAACCCACGAGGCACCTCCCCATTTAAACCAGACAAAGTAAAAATGAAGGTAGCTTTATGCAGAAAGAGTTAGAAGGCGGAAGCTCCACTGTGAAGCCTGAGCCTGTACCAACCCTGGATTTGGGTGTGTGTTCACACACATTTGTGCTTGTGAGGCCACAGGATCACTGTCATTCCTCAGAACCTGTCCACCTTTCTTATTTGTGACAGTGGGCAGTCTTGGCTGGAACTACCCATGTTAGCTAGGCTGGCTAGACAATAAGCCCTAGGAATCTTCCTGTTCCTACCTCCCCCACTCCTGGAAATCTAACTTTAACATAAGCAAGGGATGTTAAAACAAAAACAAACATGTCCACACAGAAACATCACCAGTATTGCCTGCTGGCAATTGTTTTACCAACACCCAGGAGACAACAGAACCCTTGCTATATCTCCAGCTTTTTCTGCTAACTTTACTACTTCAGCATTTCCTTAAGTGGACCACTCTTTTCTCTCTCTCTCTCCTCCATCTCACACAGCCCAGGCTGGCCTCACATTTACCCCATTGCCCCAGTGCCACCTCATCTGGTTTAGGTGGTGCAGGTGGAACCTGGAGTTAGGGCAAACATTCTACCAACTTCACTACAAGCCCAGCCTTCTACGTATCTTTTCAAACTTTAGCTCTCAACCATGCTTCAATTCACTTCAAAAGAGTTCTCCAGCTTTAAGGAAAACAAAGAAACAAAACCAAGAGACCCGTTTTTCTCCTAAACTTCATTATTTATTAAAAGGAGCGCCCCCCAATAGGGTTTCTCTCTCTAATAGTCCTGGCTGTCCTGAAACTTGCTCTGCAAACCAGGCTGGCCTTGAACTCACACAGATCCACCTGCCTCTGCCTCCCAAGCACTGGGATTAAAGGCGTGCACCACCACTGCCCAGTGAAAAGGAGTATGAATGAGGATTTAAAGCAAATTCCATTTTAAATCATTTATTGAACATCTACTAAGCGTCTGGACTAGTCAGAGTCTGGTCAAGTCAAATATCCAGTTTTTAATAGCAATGATTTAATCCTGCTGACACACAAGGTTTCTTCTTTGGGTCTAACGATGCTAATATTAACTGGGAATGGATGAAACAGGATGGGTTATCTAGCCCATAAGCACAAAGACAGTGCCTGAGTTATAGTTTTACGCTTACCATATTGACCTGGTTGTAACAATCTTTAAAGTTTATAAAAATACTCAACTGTTTTTGCTTGCATAACCACCCTAACCCTTAACACTGCTTCTCAGGATAGGATGTTTGTTTAATGTCAATCTTCGTGTCACCACACCTCCCGAGTTGCAGTGAGCTGGTACAGATCTAGAGAGCAGTCCAGGGTCTTGCATATGCTAGGCAAGTGCTCCGCTCTTGAGCCTCACCATAACCTATTATTGGGGGATTCTAGCAAACACTCTTCTTAGCCACACCCCTCACTGAGGGGTCTGGGCTAAATCTCACACTCCCAGTCCAGCTGGCGCAGACTAGAAACTTCAAGCTGTTACCATTAAGACAGACAGGAAGGTGAGCAAGCAATGTCCCCCCACAGCCCCCATCAAGTCTCTGCCCTCAGCACTTTCTTGGCCATTCTTTTGTAACACATCCGTCTGTCTGGAGACTACAGCATTAAGTGAGACTCAGTGTGACTGGTCACCCTTTTGTGGACCAAAAGAACTTACCAATCTACAACTGGAATGAAATACAAGTTTTGATCCAATTTCTCACAAACCTCATTGTTTCTATCTTCAAGCAATGCATCACGTTTACTTAACAAGTGCTTGTGAACTGAGATCATTAATTTGGCTAATGACTGAGTATTTGAAGTTGAGTCAGTCTTTGGAAGGGGGCATGTTGCAACCTCCAAGATTTAAAAACAACCCCCCCTCCCCCGAACCAGAACAACTCCAAGTCCATGACTCACTGTTTCTCCATTTGGGACCATGGTTCAGAGTTGGCTAACCTTCACTCTCTCTATTCTGCTGTTTAGACTAGAGAAAAAACATGAGATTGGTATCAACTAGGAAAGAGAACCAGACAACACGAAACTAACTTCTTATATTAAGACATTAGTTATTATGGGATGGCAAAGGGATTTTCCAAACTTATATTTAACCTGCAGTATTGGAGATGGCTTACCTTACTTGTAACTTCAAGTTTGTTTTACAAAGTTTTGAAAAACAAAACAGGTTATTTTCAGACATAATAAAAAATCCGAATAGCAAAATAAGTAACTGCTTTTAAAATGCACAGTAGTGTTTCCAATATGAAGAGCGAAGTCTAGATCTGTTAGGAAAACTTTTCCAGCGATGCTCATTGTCTCTAATAGTAGCTGAAATAAAAATCTACCCTAACTTCTGTGATCTACTTATACCATTTAAGTTTGCCTCTCTGGTTCCATTCAGACCTTTGCTTCCCTAATAGAGAATCCCACCGTATTCCTATTTCTGTGGACACAGGCTGGCTGTGAACTTGTGACCTGTCTCAGCCTCCTGAGTGCTGGGATTACAGGCCTGCACCACTAAGCACAGCTCCCTTATAGATAGTTTATATACTTTTTTGTCTTTAAATAGGATCTCTTGCAGTTCAGGCTGGTCTCAAAGTTGCTATGTAACAGGAAAATCCCAAACTCCTGACCCTTCTGCCTCTACCTCCCAAGTGCTGGGATTGTAGGTGTGTGCCACATCCTTTTGAAGCAGTGGGGATTGGAGCACATCCCTAGCCCTCCCTCATACATTCTTCTGAGAGCTGCTCACAGTGGGACACAGAAAGGCTCTTGTGGCAAGCTTGCTGTCTTGAGTGTGTCAGCACTGTCACTCCAAATGACAAAATTAGTCTTCCATGAGGTGGTGAGATGAACCTGATTAAGTTCCCTTTTGATAAACACATCAGGTTGAGAATTCTAGGATAAACACTTAAATCAGTAAATATTAAAACACCATCTCCTAAACATAAATGTGCTAGAAAATGGGAGCAAGGCCAGGACCTTGCAGTAGAGTCAAAGCAGATCTCTCAATGCTTCTCAAACTCTGAGACAGCCCCCACCTCCCTGCCAAGACCCAGGCATGTGTCCTGGAAAGGAGCCCTTCCTGTGACGGGGTCCCCACTTGTCAAAGCACACTTTCTGAGAGGGAAAACAGAACTGAGGTACTACGGTTCTGTTCTGTATACTCCCTGTCCTCCGCTAAGTGTACATTCCCCTCAAATATATTATATTTGACCCTCTGCCCACTGCCAAGTCAGGACCCACCATTCCCTCTGGTTAATATAGACCAGGCCGCCCGGAAGGGTCATTTACACAAGGTGCTCCACTTTTGTCTTCTACTGACTCTTCTCACAAACTTTTCTCTCGACTCAACAAGTACCAGCCTGAGTTTTCTCCCATCCCTAATTCTGTGAACTAATTATGTTTATAACCACATCAGTTTCTTAATTACTCCAAAGCTTCACTTTTTTTTTCTTCAGGGATGCGTTCTGTTCCACAGTCTGGAACACATGTTTACAAGGAATATAAAGAATGACAGAAGGGGTAAGGTACAAAAACACACTGACATTATGGCCTTACAAAATATATCGAGGTACCCAACTTAACAAGTTCTGTAAGTTGTACATTCTTACTATTTCTTTAACATTTCCCCACACTTGTTTCTTCCTGTGGATGCTTTGGAGTTAAGACTGAGCTCTCTTGGCAGTTTCTGGTACTTACTGCATGACTGGAACAGACCAAGGGAATTTCATGTCCAAAGAATGAGTACTATAAAGTTGACCTCACAGACATTAAGAGTTTATTTACAGTGTAAGCTTTGCCAAACATCACACTCAGTCTAGGTCCTGTTCTGGAATCAATTTTCTGATGTATGTAGGGTGTGGACTGTCCCACATGTCACACACACTGTGCAGTCTCACGTTCATGCCTTTAATACCAAGTGCTTTACATATCAAGGTGTCTCACACATCTACGCTTAGCTTTGCCTACCAGGCTGAAGTACAAAGTCTACAACTTGAAGAATTCGACTTTTGTCATAAGGGTACATTTCACTTAAAGTTTTCAAAATGTGGCATCAGGTCAACTAGCATGCTATAATTAACTAGTAAGCACTTAAACTGGTAACAACCATCCTGAGCACTAAATGTCAGTCTTTTGGACCATGCCGCAGTGATACTGTGCAGAGCACTGAAGACATTTTGATAGGCTGCTTCCTAAGAAAAACACAGCTTCAAACGGCTGCCTCCAGGAGTGCATCTGTGGAAGATCTGAAGCCATTCCAGGGACTACCTAATAGTTAAGATGTCCCAATAAAATGGGAATCAAATGAGGGATGGGGGGCACAGGTCTGTCTTAATTTCATTTAAAAACAAGGCCTTAGAGCGAAGGCCTTGTATGTCAGCATGTAGTTGTATATGTCTGTGTAGGAGCAGTCGACAGGGACATGACCGGTGTTTTCTTGGGATCAAAATCAGTGTCTGGATGGGCTCCGGGAGTCCTGAACCTTCTTGCCACCATCAGCACACCTCACTCCTTTAGGAAGAGCCTTAAAGCATCTCCACCCCCGCCTCCCTCCAGAGTGAGCCAGGGCGGCCTCCAGAGCAGCTCCGCTGCTTCTCAGTTGGGTGGACAGAAACACTCACAGGCAGCATGGAGGAAACAGTCAGATACCAGCATTCATGTGTGACTGCTCTAAGAAATAAAGTCAAAGAGGGACCAGAGAATGGTCCCTTGTAGGATTCTAGTTTGACACAGAGCCGAGGCCACACAGGTCCCAGCCCGATGAGACCCACTGTTGTGTCTCACAGACTTTCGCTGCTGGTCAGAGAACAACTGGTGCTAGATGACGTCAGCTGTTTCTTGAGAGGAATCTCAAACCGTATGTGGGGTGTTCACATTAGTGATCTCCAAGTTTGTCTTTAGCTTATGTTTCTAGGGTTCTTCAGGGCTCTCCACAGTCATGTTCAAGCCCCTGACACCTAGGTGGCCCAGACTTGGGTCTCCTGTTGTATCAAGTCTCCATCAAGAGCTTCTGGGAAGCCATCTGCAGAGATATCAGGAAAGGCTAAAGTCCCCTAACCTCACTTCAGTCTTTTCTGAGAGGTAAAGAAGATGTTGTGTGCTATTAAACACAATGACATGACCAACCATACCACAGTGTGGTGGTGAACTTCTCAGAGCAAAGAGGACACCTTCAGCCACTGCCAACTAACAACAGATGCTTCTGCAAGTTTCTGGTCAAATGCGGAAAAAACGCTCCCTTTAACTCCCTTTTTCTGAGAACTAAAAACAAAAAGAACAATAACAACAAAAACCCACTGCGTCTTTTGAAGAGATTAGCTAAGTTCTGGATAACTCAGCAAGTGCTCAAAAGACAACCATTCAAGCAGCTGACCGAAAAGAACTCTGGCCAATAAGAGCTTTTCGTGAATGATGTCACACAAAAAAACAAAAACATTATAGTTAGTGTTCCTATTTCTCTTCTGTAAGTGGATGACAGTAAGTCATTTTGACACTCTGTGGTATTTACTTGCTGATCCATGTTTACAGAGTCTCTCTGCAGGCAGCTAAGCAAGTTTTTGCTTATATTTAGGACAAAAATAACATTGACCCTAGAGTAAGTTATAGTTCTGAAGGTACGATATGATAGTCCTGTGGGAAGTCTGTCATAAGGAGTGCCTTGTGTGTGTTTAGTACTGCATCCAATGCTGTGCTGTCAGGAACATAACTGGATTTCTTGACAGCTGAAGCATCTTTTTTTTTGGGGGGGTGGTGGGGGTTGATAAAAGCTTCCATACAATGAATGATAAAAGATTAAAAGACGGTATATAATCAAGTGCCAATTTGTGGGGAGTGCATTTAGGAGTGCTAGAGTGCTTTAGGGGCATTGAAGAGGGATAGAAGCTTCTTGAATTGTTGCTATTTCAGCAGGACTGATCTCGCTGATGATGGCATAGCCACCCACATCTGCCACAGTCCTTAGAACTACAAACTGGTGCATATACCCTCTCTTTCAGAGAGACAGAAATCTTTGGTTTGATTCTGATCAGCAGTCCTAGATTTCTTTAGCTTTGGCAGGCTACCAGTGATCAGATATACTACTTTCTGGATATATAACTTGCTCGAGCAGCATGTCCCAATGTAGTTTTTGTATTAACCATCTCTCTTCACTGAGAAATAAAGGTTGTCCGAGTAGGGCTTGTTGGCAATAAGTGGCTTTTTAACTTCAGTCTAATATTCAGAGCGGTCTTGATTTGCATCCACTACTGCAAAGCTTGGCATTTCACGGTGTGTGCTTTTATCTTGAGTGGAAATATCTTGAAGACTATCTGGATGACCAGCTCTCCCTTACAAGGACTGGAAGAATTACACGCCTACAGACCACCCAAAGGCAGAACACCGTTGATGTAACTCTTGAGGATCCTTACACGTGACTTCTCAAACAATTTGATGGTGTCATTATAAGTTTAGAAACAAAAGTGGGGTAATGGTTTGATGACACACTATTGCTTTACACACAACTTTTCAGGAAGGCTCCAAAGGCATCCAGAGAGGCTGGACTGTACTCCGAGGCTCTCTCTCTGGCATGGATTCTATGGTGCAGGGTGAGTGTTGAGCTCCGGGTGAAGGCCTTGCCACACTTAGTGCACTTGTAGGGCTTTTCTCGAGTGTGAATTCTCCGGTGCAAAATAAGGTATGAGTTTCGGTTGAAAGCTTTCCCACACTCACTACATTCATAGGGCTTCTCCCCCGTGTGGATTCTCTGGTGCTTCGTGAGGTCTGAGCTCTGGCTGAAGGCTTTGCCACACTCGTTACATTCGTAGGGTTTCTCTCCAGAGTGGATGCGCTGGTGCAGGATGAGATTTGAGCTATGGCTGAAGGCTTTCCCACACTCGTTACATTCGTGAGGTTTCTCTCCTGTGTGGATTCGCTGATGTAGGACAAGGTTTGAGTTGAGACTGAAGGCTTTCCCACACTCGCTACATTCGTAGGGCTTCTCTCCAGTGTGGATGATTTTGTGGCGGATAAGGCTGGAGCTTCTCGTGAAGCATTTTCCACACTCATCACACCTGTGAGTCTTTGCTCCTGCCGGAAGCTCTTCGGAGGTGTTATTAAAGTTTGCGCTCAGGCTGAAGCTTCGTCCCAGACCTTTGCCTTTCTCCCTTGGGCCTCTCTCTCCTGCAGTGGGCCTTTTTTCCTTGGCTGTGGGAGGCCCGGGCTCTTTCTTCTCTTTGCCAGTTTTTTCTTCAGGGGTCCTCTGAAGAAAAAGAGTTGTCCTTTCGACTACTCTGCCCTGCTGTTCACGTTTCTGTCCAAACTCTTTCTGGACTCTTCCTGCTGTTTCCCCATGTGAGGTGGAATCTTCTTTGACTTCAGCCTTTGAGGTTGACTCTTTCCCATTCCTGTTCTCAGAACCTGACACAATAAATAGAAAATACAAATAGCACCATTTTCTTCTGAATACAGGTGTGATACAGTGACATTATTTTCTAAGAAGCTTCTATATACCTGGGGAAATGGCTTCGCATCATTAAAGATAAAAGTAGAAAAAAGGGAAAAATTTCCCGACAATGGAATGTAGAGCTGGGATGCAGGAAATCATAGTATTAGGCCAGGCATAGCGGTGCACACCCAGCATTCAATAGGTTGAGGCAGGAGAATTACCGTGACAGACTAGTTTGGGCTACACTACATAGCAAGACCTATCTCAAAGGGAAAAGGAAAATAAAGAGTGAAAAGTTTGTGAGTAAACAGGCATGGCATGCTGAGGAGTGAGCAGAGAAAGTATGGACGGATAAGAACTTGAGAAGCTTCAGCCTTGTTCTATTATATATTCACCTAATAACTAATTTGAAAGAAAACATATTTACAAAGTTACAGCTTGCTGTGGTGGCACATGCTTATAATCACAGCACTCTGAAGGCAGACACAAGCAAATCTCTGGGGGTTTAAGGCTAGTCTGTTCTATATGGAGTTCCAGGACAGCCAGGGCTACATAGAGACACTGTGTCAAGAAAGGAAAATAAGCCACATTGTGAGTTTAATCCCAGCACCAGAGAGGAAGAGGCAGGCAGATCCCCGTGAGTTCCAGGACAGCCAGGGCTAAACAATGAGAACTTGTCTCAAAAATAAAATACAATAATAAGAAATAGAAAGCCAGACTGCATTTCCAGCAAATACTTGTAAGTCTTACAAAAAGAGAAGAGTCAAGTCATTCTGAGGAATTGGTTAGTGGCGTCAGCAGAGGGAAGGCGATGTAGACACTTCCTAGTTCTGCCACACTCTGTCAACAAGGAGACAGCAAGTAACAAGGAGCCCTGAGCCCAGGAGATCACAGCAAGCAGTTTTTCTCTACCAGGAAGAACAGCACAGAGCTACCTGAGCTCTTGTAACAGAGAAGGGATGAAGGAGCCATCTTCACCAACTGATAGCTGAGACTTACGGTAAAGAGACAATTCCTGAGACTGTAATCAAAGAACCAGAAGAGAAATTCTACAGTGTAGACTTAACCTCTGTATTTTCGCAGCCAGCGTACTAAAATTGTGAAGTTTAATTTTTATTGCTCACTACTATATCCCATGTATCCCTATTTAAACAACAACAACTTACAATTTGTGTGTGTGTGTGCACAGCCTGTATGTGTATGTCTATGTACCATGTGCACGCCTGGTGCCTGCAGAAGTTAGAAGAGGGCATGGATCTCTTCGATCTGGAGTTACAGATGGTCGTGAGCCACCATGTGGGTGCTGGGAACTGAACCCAGGTCCTCTGGAAGAGCAGCCAGTGCTCTTCGTTGTTGAGCCGTCTCTCACACCCCTCAGCACCTCCTGAAATTTTTATTTATTTATTTATTTAGTATTTTGTGTGTGTGTGAACCATGGTGTATGTATGGAGAATACAAACTGTGAGATTCAGCTTCCTCCCTTGCACATGTGGTTCCTGGGTCTGAACTCAGGTTGTTAAGTTTGGCAGCAAGTGTGTCTTTTCCCTACTGAGCCTCTCCACTGGCCCCTCACTCTGCTTTTAAGTGAAGACTGCAAGAGGATCTGCACTATCCCAGCCGGCTCCTGAATGCTGGGACTAGAGCTGGTAATACCTAACCTTTGACTTGCTGATGAAATCACCACAACCACTGAGCCAAGCGTGGAGAAGAGAAAGCTGGTCTACTTCTTTTGGATCCCAAGCAAAGGTCCTTGACTAGCTGGACAATTCTCAAGAGTGTTTCTTTGGTTTCCCTCAAAGGTTCTAGCTGTGATAGCTTATAAACAAAGACCAGTTCTTAATTTCTATTCAGAGTAAGGAACGAGCACCTAAACACCATCTGCCCCTTTCCGCCGGTTTTCAAACCAGACCTGAGCTTCTCCACACCCACTTTGCTCTCCCTGCCTCTGTCCACTCAAGGTGGAGATCTTGCTATGAGGTTTCCTTTGGCTTCTGGTGGCACTGTGTCCTAGGCCTAAGATCTCGGAGAGGCCCATGCAACAGCTGTCAGTCAGATGGGTCATTTTCTATCTGATGCCCCTTGAATTACTCCACTCTTCGTACACTCTTAGCACCAACAGTTCTTCACAGATGATCAACATTGGATTTGGACCTGGGAGCCTGGCTAGAGGATCGCAACATAAATATTGAGTAATCTCTACAGAATGGAAAAAAAGACAGACATCCAAGGAGGATGATGTCTTGGTAAATTTGGGAACGTGGTAAAAATGGGCTGGAACTGGACTGGTGGTCAGTTTGACTGGTTACCTCTACTAGGATAGAGGCAAGCACCAGAGCAGAAAGAATCCTCCCAGGGAACTGAGAGACTCAAAGCACAAGAATTCATTTCTGATTTCAAAGAACAGAATGACCTAGAGGTAATAAACCTCAAGGCACTAGGGAGTTGGAGTACCACGCCTTTGGAACTCAACGAACACAAATGTTATCCCTTGCTAACCAACACAGAAGTAAAACAATCTTAGCAGACAGGAATTCTGCATCAGTCTTACCCTGGGAAAACACATTCCCCAAATTCTCCTGCCTGCTGTCCCTATTGAGATTCCTCCGAGCCAGGTTCTGACATCCCCATTCCTCCAGGATGAGGGACACGGCCATGTCCTCGATCTTCACCATTGCCTGAAATAACAGGAGATCCCCACGCTCAGCAAACCTGAGGTCAGGGACAGAGCTAATGGCAGGACTGTGGGACACTAGGAAAGCACACATGGCCAGACCCTGGTGGACTGAGGGGGTGTGGTGGAAGGATACTAACACTGAGGGGAGTAGGGCTTTTCTGTGGGTACCAAGAGCAAGGGACCTGGTAGAGGCTCATAAAAGATGTTCCTGAAAGGGGCAGACACAGGGTCTCAGGAGGGAAGAGGGGCCCATGGCTCACCTGGGAATCTGCGGTCAATAGTGCAGATGCCATCGCCTGGTCTCTGGGATTCCCCTCATGATGAGGGGCAGGAACGTGGGTGGCAGGGAGAGCTGAGGAGGAGAAAGGGGCTGTGAGTAAAACAGCTCTTCTCTGAGCCTCTCTCAGTGAAGAGCCCTGGCATTCGCCTTCCTAGACCAGCATATTCTCTGTTTGATGTTTAGCCACTAAAAAGATAGCTCCACAGGACACCATTGGTAGGAAGCAAGACTTCAGCTTCCCAGAGACCTTTTCTCTGTATTGTTTTGGAGGCTGTCCTGGAACTCGCTCTGTAGACCAGGCTGGTCTTGAATTCACAGAGATCCGCCTGCCTCTGCCTCCTGAGTGCTGCGATTAAAGGTGTGCGCCACAATGCCCGGCCACAAAGAGCTCTTAGAAGGGTCCTTAAAATCACCAGGTCCAAACTTTAAAAGGAGAAAATGAAGCCCCAAAGAGAGTAGTGACCATGTAACGTCACTCAGTTTAGAATAGTAGGTCCAGTCCAGAACACGGGTTCCTAGTCTCAGCTTTCGTGAGCACGAGAGCAGCACCAGGTACTAGACTCCCTTCTCTGCCTACACTTGTGAGCAACACATCTTCAAGATCACAGGTACGCGGGCGTGAAAGGGGAGCAGGGATCTCCATACTTGTAAGCACATTTCTGTCACTCTGGCCCTTTCCCCCTCTTATCTGACCACGGTAGCTGTTTGATAAAACATGCACTCTGTTTAAGTGTTGATGAGACATGCAGATGCAGGAAGGCATGGGCCAACAGGCACAACAAAGACATCCAACATAGCATAGATTATCAACTACATGCAACGATAACAAGAAGAAAAGCATTAAACTCCAACATTAAAATTCTCACTTCCCTGCCCCTTGTCAAGCCTCACTGGATCTGGGAAGCTGCTGGCAGATACAGGATGGCACCAGCTACAAAGGACCACAGAAGCAGACTACAAGTAAATCTCTGCACCCGGCTGCTCCCACCTGGGAGGTGAAATACACACAAAAACGAGACCCTAACACTCGCCTTCTCAGGGTTACGACACTGGAAGATGAACAAGAGAGGAAATTGAGAACAAACCCTCATCTCAATTCATTCAAGAACAATTTAGTAAACAATAACTCTAGCTGCAGTCTCTAAAACCACTTTCCTAACTACCTGAAGCAACAATCCTGTGCTCAGGCCCGAGTATCCTCCCCAGCTGACACCAGTGCCACCACTGTAACATCTGCTTGTGGAGAACTCAAGAGTCCCAGAAGGGAGTCAACACAGGTGCTGCACATGTCGGCTGGCTGTCTTCCAGGATGCCTGGGAGAGAGAATGCTTCTTCAGGCTCTAACCTCTAATAGTCCTCCGCTAAATGACCTCACAAATAAAGACACTGGCGAGGAGCATACTTTAACTCTTCCATAACTCTGTAACAAACTTAAGGAAGAAGGATGTGGGGCTGGAGAGATGGCTCAGAGGTTAAGAGCTCTGACTGCTCTTCCAGAGGACCTGAGTTCAATTCCTAGCAACCACAGGGTGGCTCACAACCATCTGTAACAGGATCTGGAGCCCTCTTGTGGCCTGCAGGGCTATGTGCAGACAGAACACCGCTTTTAATCCCAGCAGAGACAAGCAGAGCTCTGTGAGTTCAAGACCAGCTAGTTCCAGGAAAGCCAAGACTGTTACGTAGTAAAGCCCTGTCTTGGGGAAGAAAAAAAAGGAAGTTGGGGAAAGGGGAGCAAATAAAAGGTCTAAGATGGAAGTGCCGCGCTCCGTGTTAGCAGGTGCCTCATAGGGAGACATGCTTGCTTGGTTATTAGGATTAAAAGTGCACACCACCACCACCCAGCCTTCCCTTCCTTTTTTGTCCAGAGGGGGAGAGGGCGAGGTCTCACCTCTTTACTGACCTGGGCTTACCTCAAACTCACTGTGTAGTTGAGGAAGACCCTGAAATTCTGAACCTTCTGTCCTTAGTGTTACAAGTGTGCACCATGCCTGCTTTTTTGTTTTGCTTTTCAGTCAGGGTCTTGCTATGTGGCCATGGCTGGCCTGGAACTCACTATGTATACCTCTGGGCTGTCCTCTAACTCAGAGACCCACCAGCTTCTGTCTCCAGAAGGCTAGGATTAAAGGAGTGTGTCACCATGCCTCACTTCATGCAGTGTTGGTGATGGAACCTAGTGCCTCATGTACGAGGGGCAAGCACTCTACCAACTATGCCACACCTCTAACCTGCATTATTTCCTTCTCTTCTACGAGTGAGCCCAGCTTCTTACCTCGGGATGGCAAGGGGCAAGGCTTTCGAGATGAATGCTTGAAGTGAGAGTGGGTAGCTTCGTGCTGGTCAAAGCTTGAGGACTCCTGAACTGGATCCAGAGGCACCACCCCCCTGGCGAGCATCTCAGGCCCATGAACTTGACCTGGGACCTGGGGGAAGACAATGGTTTCTGGGTAAAACTTGTGGTTGGCCTGAACTCCTCCACCCGCTTCAGCACATGCCTGGCCTAGTAAGTTCCTTTTAAAATGGGAATTAGGAATATTAAAGTAAAGGTTCTACGTGTGCCAATGGATGTAGCCAGAGTACTTTCCCCTCGCCTCCATGGTCAGCCACTGAACCCAGAGCCTCATAAATGTCCTGCACATGTTCTAGAACTGAGCCATACTGCCCATTCCCCAGAATTCTTTGGAAGAGCCCAGAGGAACAGGGGAGCAAGAACGACTTGCCCCAAACACTCCCTCTGAGCCAGCTCCTGAGTCTACGTCCTTCTCACACAACAGGCCCTTCTTTTTACCTGCTGTCCTGACAGATCAAGCTCCAAGTCTTCCAGAAGAGTCACGGCCTCCTCCCCGCTGTCAGGCCGGTACTCCTGCAGCCAGACTTGCAGCTCTTTGGGCAGGATAGACAGGAACTGCTCCAGCACCAACAGCTCCAGGATCTGTTCCTTGGTGTTGACTTCGGGTCGAAGCCACTGATGACAAAGTTCCTTTAGTCGATTCAGAGCTTCTCGGGGCCCAAAAGTGTTCTGGTAACAGAAGCGCCTGAACCGCTGGCGGAATACCTCTGGGTCGGGTGGTGGTGTCTCCTGCACACTGGAGTCCTGCCCCCACATGTGGTCTTCCTCATCTTCTTCCTCTACCTTCACGATGACTATGCCGTCCTTCTCCTGTGCAGCCTGTGGTGACAGACCGGTGGCTTCCCTGGACTCAGCAGTCATCCTTCAGGCTCAGGGAAGTGGTGGGCTCCAACAGGGTCAGCCTGGAGGCTCCGGCCCAGCAATGGTTCTCTATTGGTCTCTGCACTACTCCTAAAGGAAAACAAAGAATGGTTTACAGTGATCTGGAAGCAGAGGGAAGTGGGTCCCTGGGCCCAAAGCCTGACAGTCTAGCATTCTCGATGAGCTCCAGGCCAGTGGGAGACCCTGCCTCAAAAACAGGCAGTGGTGGCACACATTTATAATCCCAACACTAGGGAGGCAGAAGCAGGTGGATCTCTATGAGTTTGAGGCCAGCCTGGTCTACAGAGCGAGTTCCAGGACAGTGCCGACTAAACAAAGAAACCCTGTCTTGAAAGATAACAACAAAAAATAAAATAAACACAAAACAACAAAAAGAAACTGAGCCGGGCGTTGGTGGCGCACGCCTTTAATCCCAGCACTCGGGAGGCAGAGGCAGGCGGATCTCTGTGAGTTCGAGGCCAGCCTGGTCTACAAAGTGAGTTCCAGGACAGCCTCCAAAGCTACAGAGAAACCTTGTCTCGAAAAACCAAAAAACAAAACAAAACAAAACAAAAAACCAAAAAAACAAAACAAAACAAAAAGAAACTGAGGCAGACAGCACCTGAGGAACAGCACCCACACCTGTCTTGTGGGCCCACATGTACCCACATGCATATGAGAATGCTCACATGTATATGAGAACGCTCACACATGGGTGCACATTCAGAGTTATCTGTGCTGCTAACCCTTCATACAAGGCTACACATCAAGACACTAAGAACGTTTCCAAGCACAAAAGAGAAAACCACCATAGAGTTGCACTGGCTTTGGTATCATTTCTAATATTAAGGTTTGTAAACAGAAGCCTTCTATGGGTGGTCTCTAGCCTCAGGGTTTTGCCTTTAGTCAGAGCAATGTCCTTTCAGGGAGACAGCAAATCACAGAGTAGGGGCATTTACAATGCTTAGTCCAGTGAATGCTAAGAGCTAGGTTAAGCATAGCACACATAGATACCACTACCCCACCATCACCAAAGCCTAGCTGACAAAAAAAAAAAAAAAAATATATATATATATATATATATATTATCTGTATACAGACGATGTAAGTAAGTGAGGTTTAGAATGCTTAATATTCTCAGGAGTAGATGTGTAACTAACCCTGAAGCCAAATTTGAAGACAGGACTTGTGACTACACCGTCTAGCTACTTTTACTACTTTATGAGTGCTGAGGAGGGTCTAAGGCTGCGTTTCCGTAACACAGAAAGCAAGTGTCAATGAGGGCTGGGGATCTGGCATAGTCCACCTTTGTGCCTAGCATGCACACGAGGCCAGGGGACCTCTACAGCTTTGCATAAACCAGGCATGGTGACACGCTTGTAATTCTAGCATTTGGGAGTTTAAGGTCATCCTCAGCTACGTGGCACATTTAGAGCCAGTGTGGGACACTGAGGACCCTTTTAAGAGAATGAGAAAAGGTCCTGGGAGGAGACGGGAAAGGAAGGAAAAAGGAAGGGATAGAGGAGAAGACGGCACTTGTAGGAATAGGCAGGTATAGAAAACTATATCTGAGAACTTGAGAGCCAGAGGCAAGAGAATCAGGAATTCAACCTTAGAACAGTTCCAAACCAGTCTGGGCAGCAGGAAGCTATCTTAACATACAAAAACCAAATGCAGAGGCAGAGACAGGTGGATCTCTGAGTTCAATGTCAGCCTGGTCTACAGATCAAGTTCCAGGACAGCCAGCATGACATAGACAAATTCTGTCTCAGAAAACCAAAGCCAGCTCCCCAGACCCCCCAAAAGTGAGACAAATTAAGTCATACTTTAACCTACAAAGAGGTCACTTGGTCTAAGTGGTGAGCTGTCACATTCCACATTACGGACCTCACAGCCCAAGGGAAGAACCTCTCCTTTCAACTTGCTTGTTCAGTTTTGGATTCTGTGCCGGGCCCTTGCTTATCTGAGCTACATTATGCGAAATAACTGATTATTCCATCTGGCCACCCAATCTCCTCTTTGTAAGAGAGACTGGCAACTTTAAAGACACAAGGAGACCGGAATCACAGGACTCATGTGTAAAGACAAAAGAATGGGGGTGCTGGAGCTCAGCTGACAAAACCCAATGAGACCAACACCAAAACGAGAAAGCAGGCGGCTTTTAAAACGTGTGAGTAGGGCTGTGGACAAATCTTAGTATCAGAGTGCTTACCCAGTGTGATTGAGGGAGGGCTAAATGCATGATACCATCAAAAGGTAAAAGTCTGGGAATAATGATTATAAAATGAAGTATTCCTATCGTTATGAAATACTAACTGCCAAAAACCCAATTATCAATCACCTTGGAAACCATCTTTTTTTTGTGACTGGAACTCACTGTGTAGACCACTGCCTTGAATTCAGAGATCCGCCTGCCTCTGCTTCTCCACTGCTGGGATTAACGGTGTGCACTGCCACCATCTGGCTCTGGAATCATCTTTAATGTGCGCATTCCCCCATTCCTCTTGAAAGCATGTGTGTGCCTTTGTGAGTCTGTGTGCACCACGTACTTCAGGTGCCTGAAGGGCCACAAGAGAGCACAGCATCCACATCTCAAGATGGAAATCTATCTACCTGGCACACACATGAGCACAAATAAATAAACCTTTAAAAAACAAACCTGGAACTGTTTTCTAACTCATTAACATGTTTCAAAATGAAGAATTTCAATGGCAATTTGTCTTACCTGTCCCGGGGTTGCTCAGGTCATCAGCCTGGTAGAAAGTACATTTACTTACCTGACCAGCCAGCCACCTCCCCAGGTTGGTATTGAAGTCATTAGTAACAGTAAGCCTCAACTTTCTGGTTAGTTTGCAAGAACTGGTCAGATTTTTGGAAACCCTAATGCTCCATGACACTTCAATCTTACACAGGAGGGGCTGGGGAGACGGCTTGACTTGTCAAGCCTGAGGATACAGTCGCCTTCCTTGGTATCCACAGGAGGAAGGTGAGAAACAATTTCTGCTAGCCCTCCTCTGACCTCCAGAGACAGGCCCCAGCCACTCACACTAAATGTACCAAAAAAAAAAAAAAAAAAAAAAAAAAAAGGAATCTTACACTTGGTTAGGGATACTTAGGGATACTGCTATCGTATTTTGTCTCTTCTGCTATTAAAAGTAGGGGCAATTTGCAATCCCTACTACCGTTTGCTGTAACACACTATCAGAAATATTTAATAAATACTGTTTGAATTAATTAAAAAAACATGGAAAATGGAAACACTTGCTGAGCACCACGATTGCAATCCTCCCATGTGAACGCTCCGGTCTTTGGAAGTATTGCTTCACTCCTACGCCTACAAAACCACAGCATCATGGGGCCAGCAAGATGGCTCTGTAGGTAAAGGCAGCTGGCATTAATAAGCCTGATGACCCGAGTAGATCCCTGAGACTAACATGGTGGAGAGAACTGATTCCCTATACTGACTTGACTGCACCCAAATAAGTAACTGTAATTAAACTAGGAAAGCATTTATAATTATACAGTTCTCACTTAAAAATACTGATTAGATTTGGTAGAAATGGAATCATGTACTAACATAAAAATTATCTTTTAGTATTAATATAGCATACTAAATATTGAGAACAGAAATGCAATTTTTGTAGGCAGCTGGTTTTAAATTTTATTTTTTTACTAAAATTTTTCATTTATTTTACATACCAACCATTTTCCTCTCTCTTCCCATTCCCTCCCCCCCACCTCCTGCCTACCCCCCATCCTCTCCTCCTCCATTCAGAAAGGGGCGGGCCTCCCACGGGAGCCAACAAAACATGGCATATCAAGTTGAGGTACGACCAAGCTCCTCCCCCTGCATCAAGACTGGGGGAGGCAACCCTGCAGAGGGAACAGGTTCCAAAAAGCCAGCTCATGCCCCAGGAACAGGTCCTGATCCCAGAGCTGGGGGCCCCACAAACAGACCAAGCTACACAGCTGTCACCCACATGCAGAGAGTTGTGTGTACTCAAACATGCACAGCGAGCTATGGGAGGTCAGAGGGCAACTTCCAGAGTCTCCTTCTACCGTGTGGATCTGGAGGATTGAACGCAGGTCTATCAGGCTGGGTGGGGGGAGGGGAGCTGCTGTTTTGACAGACTCCTCCACATGCTGTTCAGTTGTTCAGTTCAGTGACGACGTCTTTCCATCCCAGTACACAAGGTCAGTGTGGTACTGTTAGAGAGCATGTCTGTTCCCCTCAAGTCCACGAGTCTCTGATACACATGTCAGTTGTCAAGGGCCTCCACCTTTGGGACACATTCTACTCCTCTATTCCATTCCTACTGCACACTTCCTGTTAGTACTGCACCCCCTGAGTTCCAGTTATATGGACCCATGAATGGGCTCTGATCAATGACATCACTCTTGCAGAGAATAACACCCACTCCATTTATTAACTGTCAGTCAATGCTTTTTTTTTTTTTGGTTTTACGAGACAGGGTGTCTCTGTCCTGGAACTCACTCTGTAGACCAGGCTGGCCTCGAACTCACAGAGATCAGCCTGCCTCTGCCTCCTGAGTGCTGGGATTAAAGGCGTGCGCCACCAACGCCCGGCATCAGCCAATGCTTTACTCACTCACCCTTCAAGACACACATTACCTTCTGGTTAGTCTAGCTTAAAGAGAGGAGGAGGAGTTGAGCTGTACACACAGGAGAACCATCCCTGGTATCTCAGTCCCCTCCCACCCTCTTGAACAGTGAGCAGCCAGGAAATAGTCTACTGGTATCTCACCTGTCGGGCCTGGAATTAATCTTAACTTGAGTCCTCCCTTCTCAAATGCACTGACTCTTCGAGACCAGCCTGGATTACCAAGCGAGTTCCAGGACAGCCTCCAAAGCCACAGAGAAACCCTGTCTCGAAAAACCAAAAAAAAAAAAAAAAAAAAAGCACTGGCTCTTCCAGAATCAGAAAGAATTTTTATTTCTGTTGTTATTATGATTATGTTTTTTTGAGACAGGGTGTCTCTGTTTAACAGCTCTAGCTGTCCTGGAGCTCACTCTGTACACCAGGCTGGCCTTGACTTTACAGAGCTGTCTGCCTCTGCCTCCCGAGTGCTGGGATTAGTCATGTGCCACCACCACCCACTGGGTGAACTATTTTTTGAGATAGGGTCATACTATGTAGCCCTGGCTGGCCTGCAACTCCCTAAGTAGTTGAGGATGACCTTTAACTTATGATCTTGCTGCCTCCGATTCCTGAATGCTGGCATTACGGGTCTGAGCCATCATACTTGTTTTATGCAATGCTGGGGATGAAATCGAGGGCTTCATGAATGCTAGGCAAGCAGTCTACACGATGCTACATACACAACTGTCTGAGTGAAGTAACTCTTTCTTCTTATTTGCTGTTTAATCCAAGCTCAAGCCTGGCCTCTTTGGTTCTTTACTTCTTTTCTCCCTACCCACCCATAATCTACTTCACTCTGGATTCTCCCTAAACTTCACAGCCCCAGTCAGTGGGCTCCGTTCTGTTTCCACTTTCCCCATCAACCTTCCCACTTCACAAACCCTTCTCCACTGAGCAGAAGACTCTAAAACCAGCACCCCAACCATGCTCTCCCAGCTCTCCACCTTGAAACCTAAGCTAACACGCCACTTGTCCATCACTGATGCTCAACATTTGCAGGTGCCGACAACACTCTGAGCACTTCGCTGGACCACACACCAACAGTCTTAAGAGGCAGCCACAATTACCATCTCTTTGTAATGTGAAAGCTGCAGTTTACAGACAGTAAATTACTTACCTAAGCTCCCAGAGCAAGTAAATACTAGACCAGAGTCTGAAACTAACCCTGTCACATCTCGGGACAAGTTCTTTTTTTAAATTTATGTTTTGTTTTTTTTTCCAGCAAGAGTGTGGTATGCCTGTGTGTGGAGGTCAGAGGTTGACAGTGGATGTCTACCTCAATTGCTCCCTACCTTACTGAGGCAAGGTCTCGCACCTGAACCCAGAGCTTGCTGATTCAGCTGGGTTAGCTGGCCAGCCTCTCACCTGGCTTTTCACGTGGGTGCTGCGGTCCAACCTCAGAGCCTCCAGCTTGTGCAGCAAACAAGTCACCAACTGAGCATCGCCCCAGGCCTGCACATTAATATCGTCATCATGTCTGCAGTGCTGGGGATCAAATGCAGACCTGGTGCATGCTGAGTGCTACCTCTGAGCTAAAATGCCTGCCCAAACACTCTTAAGAAAAATACATGACAGGAGGACCAAACGTTCAGGGTAACTTTGTGGAAACTTTCTGAGACCCTGTCTCACATGAAAATATGAGTCAGGTATGGGGTACAAATGTAATCACAGCACTTTGGGAAGTTGAAGCAGGAAGACAGGAAGCTCACTGACATCCTGGGTTACATGAGACATCTTAAAAGTCAAAAATTGATATCCAAACACAAAACCTCAACAAAACAAGTACAAATTACAAAAAGGAAGGGCGTTGGGCATAGCGCATGAAGTCTAAGGCCCTGGTTGAGTCAACCACGACCTGATTTAATTTACCATGTTACTACTTTTTTGCCTGTTCATTTTCTAGTCCATATTTCTTCAAGATAAACAAATTGACTTATGAAACTCTGAGGAAGTTTGGATTTTTAAAAATGAACTCTAGGGTTGGGTGATATGTAGTATATACAGGCCCTAGGTTCAACCTCAGCACAGCAAGACAGAAACAGGGCACGGTAGGTGTAGTGGAGCATGTCGGTCTACAGAGGAGGCAGGGCAATCTACAACAATGCAGCACCAGCCTTGTCTACACAGCCAAGACTGGTCAGAAAACAAAACAAAACAAAAAAAACATTAAAAAAGTAAGTTCGAGAGATGTACTTGTACAATTTTCAGCCTGCCTAAAAGACTACCAGTGGAGGAAATCCTGTAACAGCGAAGGCAGCATGGGCTGGGACAAATGAATTAATCCCCTCCAAATAAGAAGTCACACATCGCCGGGCGGTGGTGGCGCACCCCTTTAATCCCAGCCCTCGGGAGGCAGAGGCAGGCGGATCTCTGTGAGTTCGAGGCCGGGCTGGACCGACAGCCTCCAAAACAATACAGAGAAACCCTGTCTCGTAAAACCAAAAAAAAAAAAAAAAAAAAAGTCACACATCAAAGGAACAAGCTACTTAACCTCTTTCCAGCGTTCTTATTAGCAATGGGGTAGGGACAGAGGGGAGAGGCAAGAAAACCCCCTTTGGGGTTTCTCTGAGAAACATTCTGACTTATCATCTCCTTCAGGAAAGATCACAGCCTAGCAACCAGACCTCACCAAAGAAAAGACAAATGACTTTCTGCCAAGACGAAGGGCTCCAAGCTTGGTTTATTTCAAAGGTTCTTTTCTCAAAGTTCAGTATTTCTTCTATGGCACAGTCTTGAAAGTTTAAATAAATGATCCTCTATTTTGTTAATATGAAAAAGTTAGTCTTTAAAAGGTAGCCTAGTGTGGTGACAAGTGCCTGTAACCCTGCACTCCAGAGGCAGTGGCTGGAATTCCAAGGTCAGCCAGGACTAGAGAGACCCCCTCCCTTTTTTTCTAAGGATACTTAAAAGAATCTCGATGCCACTGACTACAGAATGAAAAGCAAGATTTAGTACACGGGTCTGGCTGTATTTAAAAAAGTATAAGCCATTTGAAGAATTTATGAATGCAGAGATTAAGTAAAAAAATTAACAAAAGATAACAGTATTTACTAGCAGGTCTTTCTGTAATTTTCAGAAAGGTGAAGCTGGCTGGGCTTTGGTGGCGCACGCCTTTAATGCCAGCACTTGGGAGGCAGAGACAGGTGGATCTCTGTGAGTTCGAGGCCAGCCTGGTCTACAGAGAGTTCCAGGACAGCCTCCAGAGCTATAGAGAAACTTTTGTCTCGAAAAACCAAAAAAACTGAATAAAATGGGTAAGGATCTTGTGTAGTGATTCAAGGGGGTGACAAACCTAAAGAAACCATCTGGATACATCTCCTAGAGAGCCCTTGTAATACAGCTGTTTTCCCACATTTGGCTGGCTTTTCTACTAACTTCACTTGCTGATATGGTTACAATGAACTCTTCACAATCCAACAAGTATTTATTGACTGCCTCCAATCCGCCTAGCACTGCCCTGTACAATAAATGCTTTCTTTGGTCCCAGGCCATGGGACAGCCACCCTCTATAACCAAAGTGTGTGCGTGTGTGTGTAGGGAAGGCAGGGGAAGGACGGGGAGTGTCCCCAGTTAAGCGATCTGATTTTTTTTTTTCAGTTACATTTGACCGACTTCACTCATTTCAAATTTGGAAGAGCCATTCTGAGCAGAGGCCAGCGGTTAACTTTACGGATAATAAAGCTGACGGTTGGCAAACGTCTTGTCTCATTCAAGGTCATTAAGCTGGTCAATTTCCTACTGCCCGGATGCAACTCCCAGACACCCTTCGCATCTCACCCACTCCGATCAAGCAAGGCGAGAACCTAAACACTATTTCCCAGACAGCACATTTAAAAAGCCTGACGCAGCCGGGGGCTTCGGAGGCAGCCCACGAAGCCGAGAGCCGGTTGCTGCTCTCCGTAACTACTGTCAGGCTTCCAGCGCTGTCGCCCAGGCCCGGGAGGCGGAGAGACGGACCAGCAGGCGCCCGCACACGCCGGCAGGGCCTCGAGGCGAGCGCAGAGCAGAGCTCCAGGGCCGGGGGAGCGAAGGGCAGCGGCGAAACGGAAACCCCACAGCGACACTTGTCCCCGCAGCCCCAGCAAACGGCGGCGGAGAAGGATCCGGACGCGGAGATCGCGTCCCGCGGAGGTGACGGCGCGGAAGGGCTTCCCACGGACGCCAGCGCCCCGGGATCCGGCGGGGCTCCCGTCCCAGCCCCACATCCCGGGTCACCCGTCCTCGTGAGAGTCCGCCGAGAGACTCACCGTGAGTCTCCGGAGTGGCCTGGGGACAGCGAGCCCCCGAGCGCGGCTGACTCCCGGGCTCCACCCGGCCGAAGGGCACCGCACACCGGCCTAGGCCCTCCCGACGCCTCGCCACAGACACAATGAGTCACAAAGACCGGAAGTAAGCCAGCAACTCGCCTTCCGGGGCCGCGCCGCGCTTCCGGGTCTTCTCTAGGAACGCGGGAGGACTTTGCATCTCGGCTTCCTAATTGCTCACCCCGGGAGTCACTCCCCCCTCCACCCCCACCCTTATCCCCTCCTCCACCCCACACCCGGCAAGGTCTTCAGTTCCAGAGGCGACAGATGGAGATGGTGGGGTTTTCCTGTTCAGGGGGTTCAGTTTTGGTTTTTGTTTTTTTTTTTGTTTGTTTGTTTTTATTTTTATTTTTCTGTTGCAGTGTTTTCAGACCCTATATTTGTTACTTTCTCCCCGTCTTTTCCATCCTAGGCAGTAATTGCAGTTATTGTCAAGCAATGACGATGGTAATTGTATGGCTGTGGCAGAGATGCTGAAGCAAGGGTGTAGCCCAGGGAAGATCAAAGTGAAGGCAGGGGTGGCTGGTTTCACAAATCAGCCCGGTGGGGTGTGCCAGTTGAGTGCCTGGTGTTTTCAAATATTTGGCCCGTGGACAAAAGTTATCCTTCGGGTAAACAAAGCTTACTTATAAGGATGCTGAGCTTTGCTCTCCGAGAGTATGCTATTGCAGCAGTTTACAAGGATTTTTCAGAGGAATCACAGACACTCTCACCTTCAAGGTGTTTTTGCTAACCTATGACAGTATCTGCCGTCATTTCTCCGTCTTGTGGGCAATGCAGAAATAAGGTTACCTCTACATTCCAAGACAAGTCCACAAAAGAGAGGCCATATCCAGGAACTTGGGTGCTACTGCTCGGGGGAGATAACTTTGTAAAACAAAACAAAACAAAACAACAAAAAACACTTCAAAACTAAAAAACAATTGCAGTGTTGTATTTCACCCAACACGAAGCCAGCCATTCACTCGGAGAAGTAGGAGACACCTTTATTCACCCATGGACTAGAAACTAGGCTTGTGCTTAAAGCGGCCCAGGCCCCCTCTGCATTTCCTACAGCTTTTTGCAGGTTAAGCAGCAAGGTTGCCATCCTGGCTCTGTGAACAATTTGAGAGTGGCCTCTGACTCCTTTAACCATTAAAGAGAATTTAGTTAGGCATGTTTACAGTTACCTAGGTAGATAATATCATACTTGGCAGGTAACAATGAAACATAAAGGCATTTGCAAATAATGAAGGAATCCGGCGTTATCCTGGCCTGCCCCTGTCACTTGACAGAACGCACTCAGGCAGTGCCCTGGTCAGCCCAGGGTTCTGTGATTACTAATCTGCAGACAGGTGCAAAGGACCCTTTTAAAAGACAGACCTCGCCCACTTACCATCTCTTCCCACTCAATTTCCTGCTGTCCCCTCTTCTCTTCTGTCCTCTCTGTCTCTGTGTCTCTGACCCGTTACCGTTTTTCTCTTTCCTTCCTCCTTCCCTCCCCTTTCTAATAAAACTTCTCATTTAAGCTCTGTCTGCCTGGCGTGTTTGTCCCCCAGCTAGGTCACCCTCACCTGCCATGGAATCTGCCAAGGTTAACCTCGAGCTTTATCATAACAAATAACAGCACATGTTAGCTGGTAAAAGTATTTTTCCTTTAGCAAACAGCAATGTTATCTGCAGTATGGCCTTTGTCTTTTGGGACAAACTTCCTTTCAGGCAGTTTCTGGCAAGGGTTTGTTTTTCCCAGATAAGAAACAGGAGCTTTTTACAAGCAATCAGAACTCCTAAGCGAAACTATCTCACTTATAGCTTTTTATTAAGCTTTCAAAGCATACTGTTGGGTGCATATTCATGTCACTTCCTATCAATATCATTAAAGGAAACAGGAAAACTGAGAAAAATAATAACCCCCAACTTAATACAACTGCAGTGAGCTGAGAAGCCATTTAGACTTTTATCTTCTGTGTATGAGTGTTTTGCCTGTATGTGAATATACATTTGCATCTCTGGTACCCATGGAGGTCAGAAGAAGATCTGGATCTCCTGGAACTGGAGTTACAGATGGGTGTGAGCCTCCATGTGGGCACTGAGAACCAGATCAAGGTCCTCTGCAAGAGTCATCTTAACCATGGAACCATCTGTCCACCCAAATACATTGAAATTCTTTTTGAAGGTCTTGTTATGTAACGCAGGCTGGCCTGAAACTCAGTTTCACCTAGATGTTGTCCTAATTCTGTTATAATCTTTCACATTTATTCAGGAGTCAAGGATAAACCAAGTGCCAACGTTTTTGTTTTGTGTTTCAGTAACTTAAGAGAGCTCCTTGCCCTATTGATGCCACCTGACCATATAACCTTAGGCCAGTTCTCATGTCTCTCAGTTGCAGCTGACACTAGAAAATGACCAGAATGACATTGCAGTCTCCTTTCCTCTGGGGCATTGCCTTTTTTAGAATTCCTATTGCTGCGAGGAAACACCATGACCAAAAAGCAAGCTGGGAAGGGAAGGGTTTGTCTGGCTCACACTTCCACATCACATCCATCACTGGAGGAAGTCAGGACAGAAATACAGCTGAACGCCTGCACACCTTCTCTCTGCTTCCTGGGCAACATTATGGAGACAGCTGTAGAGACCTTGATTACTCTGAGTAGCAGAATCCAGAAGCTTGAGGACCACTGATAGTTGTTGATATCTCATATGACCGGGTTCCAACCTCATTAGAGTTATAATTCATAACTTAAAATCTGAATTACAGGTCTGGGGCTGTGGCTTAGTAGTAGAACATTTGCATAGATGTTGTAATGCATGGAGAGTTCCAGGGTCCACAAGGAGACCCTGCTTCAAAAGATCAAACCTCATCAAACCAAATGAAAAACAATTAAAAATATTCCACGGGCATTAGTCACATCTCTGCTGTAAAATAATAGGAGAAACAGGAAGAAGAACATGGAACAGTTATTACTGAATACGCACAAACAGGGACAAAATATAATTAGTTGTTACAGTTTTTTGTTTGTTTTTTAGACAGAGTCTCAGTATGTAGCCCTGGCTAGCCTGGGACTCTGTATTGACCAGGCTGATAAGATCTGTTTGCCTCTGTCTCCTAAGAGCTGGCATTAAAAGCATGTTTTTTTTTGTCACAGCTCTTATTTCCATAATTTATCATAAGATTGTCACTTGATCTGGAAAATATAATACAAATATAACACCTTATATTTACGTCAAAATAAATCCCAAACAGATTAAAACTGGAGAGACAGCTCAAAGTCTAGACTGACAACTAAAAAGAGAGGTGGTCGAGCAAGCCAGTAGGCAGCATTCTTCTGTCAGCTCCTGCTTCAAGTTCCTGCCCTCAGCTCCTGCTTGTTCAAACTGGGTTTTTTCCTATCCCCTTATGTATATAAGCTAAAATAAGCTCTTTCCTCCTCAAGTTGTTTTTGGTCACTGTTTTATCACAACAGAGAAGTTCATTAGCATAGCTGGAGATGCAATTCAGCTGTTGAACACTGGTAGTCTGAATGTATTTGGTCCCCGTAAGCTTACAGGGAGTGGCACTATAAGGAGGTGTGGCTTTGTTGGAAGAAGTGTGTCACTGTGGAGATGGGATCTGAGTTCTCATATATATATGCTCAAGCCACACTCAGGGGCTGAGACCACTTCCGTTGACCTGCAAGTCAAAACGTAGGTCTCTCATCGCCATCACCAGCACAATGCCTCCCTGCACGTCACCATGTTTCCCATCATGGTGATAATGGACTAAAGCTCTGAAACTGTAAGTCACCCAACCAAATGTTTTCCATGGTCATGGTGTCTTTTCACAGCAATAGAAACCCTAACTAAGACAAACACCAGGGTTCACCTGCCAGTAACAAATATCACCACCACCACCACCAGTCGACATCTGGGTGTCTGTGAGGACATTCCCAGAGACCATTGGACCAAGAGAGTTCTGACTTAATTAATGGGTAATCCACTGATAGATAATTGTCAACCAACAGTTGCTTGCTGATATTTTGTTTTATGGTTAATTAACCATGACAATTTATTAATATTGTAACAGTATTCTTTATATAATAATTATTTCTATCTACTCATCTTAGTTGCTCAAAAAAAACAATGGGAGCTTATATCTGTATGGGAGAAAAATTACGATGATCCTGGACCAGCCTCCATAAGTAAGGTCACTTGATGCTAAGTCTGATGACCAGAGTTTGATGCCAGGAACCCATCATGGAAGGAAAGAACCAACTCTTTCAGGCTATCCTCTGATGTCCACACTCATACCATGACATGTCTGCACCCCTTCACAAAATAAGTAAATGTAAACAAAGTTTTAAAAAGAGACAACGATGCTATACATAATTAAGCAAGATAGTTTCATATTGATGTCTTGAGAAAAGCATGAAAGAACATGTTGGTACATGATCTCGATGGCATTTCTCTCTCCTAAGGGAAGTCATTACTCATGGTCCTGCAGGAAACAGGATTTGTAGCCCAGAGGCTCTAGGGCTGTTGGCAAAAGTGCCCATATGGTGACACCACGAGGCTTCCACCCAAGAGTTCTGAAAGGATTCAAGATGAAAGTGTAGAATCATGACACATTAATGGTTTACAATCACCCAGTGATAACGATGAAAGTTTGGCTGGCGCCCAACCAAACCTGCGTTCCTAAAGGGCCTTGGCAAAGCGAGCCTCCAATTTCTCCCGTGTTGTGAAAGCTGGTGGAGGCAAGGCCAAAGTTCCTGGCTTGTGCACCAGCGTTGCATACTAGAGCTGCGTGGGACCCTGTCACAAAAAGACAAAGAATGGTGATGTGAGCTGAGCACAGTGACCCATGCCTGTGATTCTAGAACCCTGGGAATGAAGGCAAGAGGTTCATGCTTGACCCACATCATGAGTTCAAGGCCAGGCCAGACCCTGCAGCTCAGTCTTGTCTGGAATTCTTTATGCAGTCAGTGACACCCTTGACCTTCTGACCCTCCTTCCTCCAGCGTTTCCCAGGGCTGGGATGATATGTGTGTGTTATCACACACAGCCAACATCCATCTTCCTCCTCCTCCTCCACTCCCTACTCCTCTTCTTTGAGAAAGGGTCTCAGGAAGCCCAGACTGGCATCAAATTTGCTATTCAGCCAAGGATGCCTTTGAACTTCTGATCCATCTGCCTCTGCTTTCCAAGTGCTAGGACTATAGGTATGTACTACTATGCCCTGGTATCACATACTGTATTGCTTGACTCTGCATCCGTGTGTCAAGGTCAGAGGACAAGCTTGTGTGTCAATTTTCCCCTTCCCTTTTGTTTGAGACAGGATCTCATTGCTGCTATATATGTAAGCTAAATGAAGTCAAAGTTCTCCCTGAGGACAATGGTCATTGGGATCTTGGAGGAAGAGATACATTGTTCACCCCACTCCCACCCAGGGAAGGAATTTTAGCAACAGCTGTGTTACAACATTTTCTTAAAAATTTCCAAGGGAGAGAGGAACATAGTAGGGGGGGGGGGTTGCTGTCTCACTAGGGCCTCAGGAGAACAGAGGGTGCCTGGCCTGAAAATGCTTGGTGCTTATGCAGAGAGCAGCCAGATGGCCTCTGCAAAGCTCCCTCCCTGTGCAAACATCCCTCACCCTGCAGAGTAAACAGGCCTCCCTGCACCCAGAGGCCCCTGTGCCCCACTTCTGTGTGGTGCAGCCTGCAAAGGAGCAGGGTGAGGCACAGCGACCTTGGCCTTGGTGACTTATTTCAGCTTGGGCCCTTGGCAACAAGGCCATCTGCCTTGGCTCCCTTTCTCCTGTGTAAACAGACTAGAGGGCCCACAAGGTGCAGTAACAGCCAGGCCAGGACTCTCCCTCTTCCTCTTCCAAACATGGCACAAAGAAGCTCTTTAACTGCCTGGGCAGAGAGTTGTTCCTGGATGCTGGGAGAGCGGAAAGGGTATGAGGGGTGGGGTCGGCCAGTTCCTTCAGGTTCTTCAGCTTCAGAAAGGTCAGCCGTGCCTAGGGTCTGAGTTGAGAGCAGGGGTTTGTGTTTTTTGGGAGGGAGGGGGGATGGTTTTAGAGAGTGGGGACTTCTGTGCCCTAATGGTTCACAGCCCTCACTTTTTCTGTACCCAAGCATGTACACATTAATCTTTTCTTGTCTCCCCTCTGTCCCTCCCTCCCCCTCCCTCCCTGTCTCTCTAGCCCAGGCTGATTTTTTTTTTTTTTTTTTTTTGGTTTAACGAGACAGGGTTTGTCTGTATTGTTTTGGAGGCTGTCGTCCAGCCCGGCCTCCAACTCGCCCAGGCTGCTGAGTGTTGGGATTAGAGGTGTGTATTCATCAGGCCCGGTTTTGTGTGTACGTGTGTGTGCACATGTGTGTAGGTGTGTGTGGAGGTGGTGTCATTCCTCAGATGTTGTCCTTTTTTCTTTTGCTTGGAAACAGAGTCTCTCATTGGTCTGGAAATTACTGGCAGGCTAGGTTGGCCATCCAGAAACCTCACATCCTTCCTGATTCTTCCTGTCAGCATTGGGATTATCATCTTGTACGGCTACACCTAGTTTTCTTTTCTTTTCCTTCTTTCCTTCCTTCCTTCTTTTGTTTTTGTTTTTTCGAGACAGGGTTTCTCTGTGTAGCCCTGGCTGTCCTGGAACTCGCTCTGCAGACCAGGCTGGCCTCAAGCTCACAGAGATCTGCCTGCCTCTCCCTCCCTGAGTACTGGAATTAAAGATGCACACCACCACTGCCAAACTCTTTTTCTTTTCTTAATATGGGTTCAAGTATCTATCATTATGTATCAATTTATAATCTGTATCTATCATCTATCTACATACCTATCAATTATTATCTATCTACAGACCTACTTTGACATCTGTCTGTCTATCTATCCATCCATCCATTATCTAGCCTGCCCTCCCTCCTCCCTCCCTCCCTCCCTCCCTCCCTTTCTCCCTCCCTCCCTTCTTTCCTTCCTTCCTTCCTCCCACCACTCACCCATGGAGCCATCTGTTGTCTACTTGTCAACCCCCATCTCTTTCAGCGTTAGGGTCTGAACCCAGAGCTTTACACACACTTGGTAAACACTCTACCATTGAGTGACATCCCCAGCTATATATTTTTTTGTTTTTTTTTTGTTTTCGAGACAGGGTTTCTCTTTGTAGCTTTGGAGACTGTCCTGGAACTTGCTCTGTAGACCAGGCTGGCTTCGAACTCACAGGGATCTGCCTGCCTCTGCCTCCCAAGTGCTGGGATTAAAGGCGTGCGCCACCAACGCCCGACTCCCAGCCATATTTTCACTTAATTATTTTTATAAAGGAATTCATTAATTTTCTCAGCACTGAACTCACTCTATAGCCCTGGCTCGACTTCAACTTGTGGTTCTTTAGCTTCAACCTCTTGAGGAGCTGGAATTATAAGCCTGCACCACGGAGTCTGGCTTATTTGCTTTTTTATTTTATTTTTTTGTAAGGATCTCTTTCAAGGTGGTGAGTCAGGGGCCAGTTTCTGGCCCTACACTTTTCCAGCACCTCCTCCCACTGGAACCATTTGTCACCTTGGTGAGGAGTTTTGCAGAAAAAAAGACAGTCGACAGTTTCTACTAGGGGTGCAACTCGGCAGGGACTCCTGGAGTTGCTGTTACTACCTTTCCCATGCAAGGCGACTCATAGAAGTCTGAATTTCCAGGGCACACTGTGAAGGCTCTGCGAGGCAGGGAGCGCCAGGCACGCTTCCTTTTATAGAGAATTAGTGGTGCTGGGAGGTGTGGCTGGAAGCGGGGGGGGATCAGAGGCCTTCGAGGAGAAACTTTTTGCATGGGGTCTCACTGTGTAGTCCAGGCTGTCCTTGAACTCACGGTCTGTGCATTATTCAGTGCTGTGGCTGCAGAACTGTGCAGAGCTGGGGAACTGGACTCAGATCCTCTTGCATATACAGCCAGCGCTTTACGGCCTGAGCACTCCCACTCCAAGGCAGGCATTCCATAAATGGAGACAGCTCTGATGGTACCAGCGATTCTGAGTGTGTGTCTTTTTCAAGACAGGGTTCTCTGGGTGACAGGCCTGGCTGTCCTGGGATTAGCTCTGTAGACCAGGCTGGCCTCGAACTCACAGAGATCCCCTGCTCTGCCTCCCAAGTGCTGGGATTAAAGGCGTGCGCCACACTGTCTGGCAGAGTTGATCTTTTCTGTTATTGTTTTTTAAACACACATCCCTGGAATGAAGGTAGCCTGGGATTCAGCATGTAGCCTAAGCAGGTCTTCAGTTCACAGCCTTCCTTCTTCAGCTTCCTTAGGGCTAGCATCACTGGTATGCACATCTGCATTAGTACTTCATTAAAGACAGAGATGCTTTCTCTTTTGAGTCATATAGACTAAGAGCAAGTCCAAATTTGAATTCTCCACTTCTGTCTCTGTGACTTCCATCTGTCTGTGGCCTGTCTGCTGTGTGTGTTTAAAGTCTGTCCCTAACAAAGGGCTTTGCTACACAGTATGGGGGAAGGAATGGGTCTCTATAGAAGTCTTTAACAAAGTTTTACAAGGTACAACGAAGTTGAAGTTACCGTAGGGACCCCCCAGCTGGCTCAGAATAGCATCTAAACTACAAACAGTTGCTGTCAATCTTTATACTCACATGCTGCTTTGAACATTTATGGGGTATTCATTTTTGTTTAAGGTTGCTTTCAGCAAATGATTACAGCCTGCACTCCTATCATTCTGGGTCAGGGACATGGGAGAGTACATAATTTAAGATGGAAGCTATGCATTTAGTTTAGGTTGTAAAGGCTGATTACATGGGAAGTACAAGGCCTGGTAAGGTCGGTTACATTGTTCTCCTAGGGCAAGTTAAGGAGGTGAGTACACAATAAGGCGGCAGACTGAATAGATAGTTTTGAATGATCCCAAGGCATGCTGTTATCTAGCTCGCAAGGTCCAGCAAAAGTTCAGTTTCTGAAGGTAAGAGGGATTTCCAGGAAAAGATATTTCCACATACTTCATGCCTGGCTAATAAATTCGAGTTTTAATCTCCTTCTAATAGACTGTCCCACACAGTCTCTCAAGTTTCATCCGCTCATTATGAGTTGCTGAGCATGAGAAGATGTTGCTCCAAAAGTGTGAAGTGCTGCCGGGCATTGGTGGCACACGCCTTTAATCCCAGCACTCAGGAGGCAGAGGCAGGTGGATCTCTGTGAGTTCGAGGCCAGCCTGGTCTACAGAGCGAGTTCCAGGACAGTCAGAGCTACACAGAGAAACCTTTTCTCAAAGAACTAAACAAAAATAACAACAAAAAGTGTGACATGTTAGACTCGATGGATAAATGCTGATGATCTTCTGTAGGGCACTGTGTAGTTCATGATCCTGTACTGAGAACTTGACAATTGATGATCTTCTGTAAGGCACTGTGAATGTGGTTCATGATCCTGTATTGAGAACTTGACAATTGATGATCTTCTGTAAGGCACTGTGAATGTAGTTCATGATCCTGTATTGAGAACTTGACAATTGATGATCTTCTGTAAGGCACTGTGAATGTAGTTCATGATCCTGTATTGAGAACTTGACAATTGATGATCTTCTGTAAGGCACTGTGAATGTGGTTCATGATCCTGTATTGAGAACTTGACAATTGATGATCTTCTGTAAGGCACTGTGAATGTGGTTCATGGTCCTGTACTGAGAACTTGACAATTGATGATCTTCTGTAAGGCACTGTGAATGTAGTTCATGATCCTGTATTGAGAACTTGACAATTGATGATCTTCTGTAAGGCACTGTGAATGTAGTTCATGATCCTGTACTGAGAACTTGACAATTGATGATCTTCTGTAAGGCACTGTGAATGTGGTTCATGATCCTGTACTGAGAACTTGACAATTGATGATCTTCTGTAAGGCACTGTGAATGTGGTTCATGATCCTGTATTGAGAACTTGACAATTGATGATCTTCTGTAAGGCACTGTGAATGTAGTTCATGATCCTGTACTGAGAACTTGACAATTGATGATCTTCTGTAAGGCACTGTGAATGTGGTTCATGATCCTGTACTGAGAACTTGACAATTGATGACTGACCACCCATATTGTCAGGGCTTGGGAGGAAGAGGTAGTAGGAGAATCTTAAGTTCAAGGTCTTCCTTGGCTCTATTGTGGGTTAGAGGCCAGTCTAGGCTCCAAGAGATCCTGTCACACACAAGACCAAGAAAGTCACCTTCAAATAAAATCTGAAAAACAAACAAAACAAAACCCAACTTAAACCATATCAAAACAACAACAAAAAGAAAAATGAGAAAATTGCCGAGGAACCCTGCCTATCATCTCCTTTCTGCCTTTCCCTTCCTCCTTTACTTTTTCTGACCTAAAATGTAGGACCTGTATCAGTGGCTCTGAACCTTCCTAATGCCGCAGCCCTTTAACACAGTTCCTTATGTCGTGAGCCCCCACTTACAACATTTTCATTGCCACTTCATAACAGTAATTTTGCTACAGTAATGAATCATAATGTAAACATCTGTGTCTTCCGATGGTCTTAGGTGACCCCTAGGCTCCCAGGTTGAGAACCACTGTTAGGGATTGTGCCCGGACTCCAGGGCCAGCTTCCTAGCTCAGAGCCTCACGTCTAGGCAGGTTCTCAACCTGGAAGCCACACCCCCAGCCCCCACAGCTCTATAGCAGCAGTTTCTTCGCAAGGCTACGGGCGGTGCTGCTTTCATCTCTCCCCGGTTCATAGAAGGCGATTGCCCATGCTCCAGTAGATAAGCCCAGTTGTGCACAGTTTCTTCCAAAATGGAAACATTCCACCCTATAGGGAAGCTCCTTAAGCAGAAAGCCAAACAACTCAAACTAGTTCCTGGGAGTCCGTGAAGCTGACCAGATTCACTGCGACCCTCCCTGCCGGAGTGAACAATCAAAGGTGGGTGACCATTTCAGAGAGGAGCCGAGATGCAGAGTAAAGACGACTCTGGAAAAAGACAGAAACCAGCCGAGCTGCCTGGAAGAGGTTTATATCAACCGAGGAACCTGGAAAGGACGCTCTCCAGCCTGCTGAGCTGCCCGCAGGCTGTGCAGTGAGCTCCAGGTCCCCAGCTTTTGTGAGCAGTCACCCATGCTGGGGTGGGCTTTGTTGGTGCAGCTGTCTCAGAGTCATTTCTGCTCCCGTAAGTAATCCTTCACCTACATTCTTGTAAGTAACCCCAATACGACTCATCGGTTCACCAAGTTGGTTCACTTTGGTGGTTCCCTGAATTGGGATGAATAGATGTGTATGTTAGGTTTTCCCAGGAAAAGTTTCGTCAAGCCCACACTCATGCTCATACAGTCAACCCCAGTCAAACTCAGCGAGTCATAAGTTGAAAGAAACACTTGCTGAAAGAAAGAATGAAAAAGAAAATAAATCGTTGAGAGACATTTTAAATGTTTACCTCACAGGCTATGATTACTAACGTGCTAAATTTTAGGAATCCACAGCAGGATCCACAGTGCCACCTAGCGGGAATAATCTGAAACTGCAACAGAATCTACCTCTGAGGCAGCAATGTCTTGCCTGAAACATGCTTGGAGAGGGGCCTGACCAGGCTGCCAGGAGGTATCTATTATCTGCCTTAGAGAGCATCCAGGGGTAAAAGGAATTCCTTCTCACCAGGGAATCAGCAGTAGGAGCTGCAGCCTCCGGATCCCACACTGCACAGCCTTAGTTTTTCCCTTTGATACAGCATGAATTGCAAGTCGCATGCTCCCAGAGACTTAAGTTTGCCAGGATGTTTTGCAAGTCATGTCCACAGGAGAGCCATGAGGAACCTGATTTTCTCAAGACCTTCCCGCCTGCTGTCTAGGTCCTAGCCTGGACCCCAAGAGAGCATTGAGGCCGGAGCTTGAATGCACTCAATAGTGCACACTAATGTTTATTGGTGCTGAATTCACCATAGAATACACTAAGAAAATGGAAACAGCTTGCTATCGACTACCTTGTATGCTAATTCACTTATTTCCATTAAAACACTTATGGCTCTCTCTCTCTCTCTCTCTCTCTCTCTCTCTCTCTCTCTCTCTGTGCGTGTGCACGTGCTTGTGTGGAGGTTAGAAGACCTCTTTGTACAGTCTGTTCTCTTCACCTTATAGGTTCTGGAGACTGAACTCTGGTCATCTATCTTGGCATCTTTACCTACTGAACCATCTGGCTCAGCCCTTGAATGCTAATTTCAACAAGAAATGTGAAGAATGGGAGGAGGCCTCTTGGCCAACTTGGATTTACCACCATATTCCTGCCATGCCTGTAGAGACCCATCTAAGACTTTGCTCTTTGGCCACAAAGGGAATGGGTGTCTTGGGCTCTGTAGAAGGCACCGGGTTTGAGTTACAGTAATTCAAGGAAGGTCGGAGAAAGGAGTAGAAAGAACTGGATTGCAGGCTGGTCTGACATAGGCAAAGTGAGAATCCAGACAGTAACTGCCCTGGAAATCCCGATATCCTCTGTACCCATGACTTCTTTTTTTTTTTTTTTTTGAGACAGGGTTTCTCTGTATTGTTTTGAAGGCTGTCCTGGAATCGGCTCTGTAGACCAGGCTGGCCTCGAACTCACAGAGATCCACCTGCCTCTGCCTCCCGAGTGCTGGGATACCCATGACTTCTTAATCTGCAAGCTCTATTTACTGTGAATTGAAAATAATTTTAAAAAGATTGCACCTGTAACAATTCCCTCTTGTAATTATTCTTCAAATTGTATAGAAAAGCATTTACTCATACAACATTTAAATTGTAAGTCATCTAGAAATGATTTAAACTATATGAGAAGATGTAGATGGGTTATATGTAATGCGCCTGTTTTGTTTATATGGGAGTCTGTGTACACATTTGGGTGGGTGGATTTGGGTGCACACATGCCACAGTGTGCAGAGGACAGTCTTGGGTGTTTGCAGAAAACCATGGAGTTGGCTTGGCCTAGCTGCCCTGAGAGGCCATGTGTCATAAGTTTCTCAAGTTAGAGTTCGTGGCTCCTGAGGCACAATGTGCCTTCTAGCTCCTGAGAGAACAATGCACTCCTTCAGGCTGTGAAACATTCAGGTGTTTCTCTGTATGTTCCCTTAGTAGTCAAGGAAGCATGAAGGCTTGACAGGACAATTGGTCCTAGACATTAGTGTTGTGTACTCTGTATACCTTGCAAGCATCATTATATACTGGCAACAACAACTGTATTGATCTTGGCAATTGCCATTATATTTTGTTTCTAATAAAGGTATATGTTGTGGAGTGTTACTTTAACTGTGTAAAGATGTGTTACAATTGCCTATACTGCATTTGTTTAACTATGTAAAGATGTGTTACTGTTTCACCTTGCCTGCCCAAGGCACCTGATTGGTCTAATAACGAACCGAATGGCCAATAGCCAGGCAGAGAGAAAAGATAGGTGGTGCTGGTGGGCAGAGAGAAGAAGTAGGAGGGAAAAAAATCTAGGCTTGAGAGAGGAATGAAGAGAGAAGAAGGAGAAGAGAATGAGGGACAAAGACAGGGTCACGCCTGGGGGCAGAAGCCAGGCACCTGCCAGCCAGCCAGCCAGGAGCAGTGAAAGTAGGACAGGCAAAAAGCCCCAAGGCAAAATGTAGATGAAGAGAAACAGGGTAAGTTCTGAGAGCCAGTGGACGAGCATGAGAAGGGGCCTGGCGTTCATAAGTAATGTTAATTCTCCATGTCATGATTTGGGAGCTGGTTGGTGGCCCCAAAGAAAAAGCTTGGCACAAGTGTAAAAAGACTGATTGCTCTCCATAAAACTGTCGCCTTCAGCTGTGCTGTGGCCCCTCCAACCTGGTCTGATTTCATTCCTCAAGGCATATCACGGGACCTTGGCCTGATAAGTAAGTGTGGGTGCTTACAGGTGTTGGGCCTCGCTTGTTGGAGACAGGTCTCTGCTGCTTTTCTGCCTCTTTAAAAAATTTTACAGGTTATTTATTATATCCATTGATGTTTTGCCATGGGTGTTGGGTCCCCTGGAACTGGAATAGCAGGCAGTTGTGAGCTGCCATGCAGGTGCTGGGAATTGAACCTGGACTGCTCTTAACCACTGAGCCATCTCTCCAGCCCCCTTTTTCTGCTTCTTATGTCAGACTAGCTGGCCAGTGAGTTTCCAGAGTTCCCATTTTTGCCTCCCATTTCCCATATAATCTATGTTGCTCGCCAGGCTTTCATAAGTGTGGTGGGAATTTGAACTCTAAACTCAGGCCCTCACACTTGAGTGGCCATCCCCTTCCCCAGAGCCAACCCCCCACTCCCTACATCATTTTACATAAAGGACTTGAGCAGCCTCAGAGATCGGTAACCACAGGGAGTCCTGAATCAGTCTTTAAGAGGATGAGGAATGAGATGAAGGCACTGTTCCCAGTCAGTGGTCTGTCCGTTGGTCAGTCATCCTGAAAAAAAAAAGAGTCTCAAATGAGATACAGAGTGCCGCTGCTGTCCCACAGTATCCCAGGCACTTTGAAGATCTTGGTCCTTAGACGGTAGCTGCGCTAAGGAAGATCAGGAGAGGATACATGATGGAAGTAGATCAGACAGGACTTGTGATGAACTGGGTGTGCTGGGGAAGGAGATGGGCCCTACACACACACAGTCACACACACACAAACACACACACACACGGATGAATCGCTGAAGGAGGTCCTCTCAAACTGGGGTACCCTCCAGTTGCTCTTGAAGTTGCTTTTTTTCCAGAGAAGAATTTGTTGCTGTTACTTTTCCCTTTGAAGATAAACAAGGTGGCCTGAAACTCTTCAGTGCTCTTGCCTCAGCGCCCAAGTCTGGGGACTACAGCTTCGCACCAGTGCGCCTGCCTTGCTTGCGGCACCTGGCACAGCGGGCAGGAGGTGGCCGTGAGAGCTTCCACATTCGCTTTTTGGGACACTGTTGTCCTCCAGGTGTTTCCAGTCTGTGCCTCAGGCCCAGCCCCACTCACAGGTCATTCCCTTGGCAGACTCCTGAGACTGTCCCTTCTCAGGGTTTCACACCCAGCCGGTTAGGAATGGTATTTTGACTCTTAAGCTGCATTAATACTTCACACCCCCTCTGAAACCTGACTCCCTTCAGGAAGTGCGATCTGGGCTTCTGAGTGGCTTTGTGTCACTCTCTGCCTCTAAGATATTTGTCAAGAACTTGGTCTCCTGAGGTCCTGCCCCCGTCCACCTGCCAACACCCCTCACCAGTCAGGTCTCTCTTGTCAAAATGGCCAGGTGTTATATTTCAGTCTTTCTCCGCTCTGGCTTACTTATGTTGGCGCTGTCTCTGTCTCCCTATCTCTATCTCTGTCTCTGTCTCTGTCTTCTTCACCCCCTCTCATGTCCCATGTAGCCCAGGCAGGTCTCAAACTTGCTCTGTCACCAAGGATGACCTTCGGCCTGTTACTACAGAGTACGCTGGCGTGGAACCCAGGGCTGTATGCATGTTAGACAAACACTCTTCTAGCCCAGGGTAATCAATCCAGGTCTTTAAAGGGTTTTTCTTTTCTTGAGACAAGGCCAACTATGCATAGTCCAGGCTGACCTCAAGCTTGAAGCAATCTTCCTACCACAGCCTTCCAAGTCCTGAGATTATAGTGAGCACTAGGACACCTAATCATGAAGGAAATCTTTGTTGTACATGGGAGAAGAACACAGGCACGGGCGGGTGGGGCTTCACCAAAGCGTAAATGAAGCTCTGCCTTTGAGCTCGATTATGCGTGGATGACTCGAATGGACTTGGAGGGAGTCCAAGAAAATCAAGTCTGTTTCCTGATTCTTCTGGCTGTGCTCTGGAGAGAACACGCCTTCCATGTGTATGTCCTGAGGCTGGCGTGCTGTGGGGAAGACTGAAAGTGAAGGTTGGTGTCTCACAAGGTTGAAAGACTGCTAAGGAAATCGAGGCACAGAAGTTTGTTTGTGCAGATTTCTTTTCTTATCTTTTTTTTTTTTTTGAGGGAGGGTCTTGCTAGGTAGCCTTGGCTGTCCTGGAACACACTGTGTAGACCAGTCTGACCTCATAGCTCTATCTGTGGCTACCAGGAGTGGTTGCCTGAATGATGTCCAAGGGACTGGGTGGTCCAGGCCATGTGATACCCCGAGGTAAAGATGCTCCATGTTTTTAAAAACATAGTTGTGGTGGTTTTTAAAAAAATCTTTTTGGTGGACTGGAGAGATGACTCAGTGGTTAAGAACACTTGATGCTCTTGCAGAGGACCTGAGTTCAGTTCCCAGCACCCACATGGTGACTCACAACCATCCACAACTCCAGTTTCATGAGATCCAATACCTTATCCTGGCCTCTGTGGGTACAAGGATGCTCATGGTATTCAGACAAATATGCAGGCAATGTAGCTATATACACAAAATAAAATAAAAATAAATAAATCTAAAGAAATTCTTTTAAAATTTTAAAGAAAAGCCGGGCATTGGTGGCGCACGCCTTTAATCCCAGCACTCGGGAGGCAGAGGCAGGCGGATCTCTGTGAGTTTATCTACAGAGTGAGTTCCAGGACAGCCTCCAAAGCAATACAGAGAAACCCTGTCTCGAAAAACCAAAAAGAAATTTAAAGAGATAAAATTGAGAGGTAGCACAAGAGAGAACACAGAGGGAAGGAGGTGGGAGGGAGAGAGGGATGTATGTGCAGGTTACAGGAACTGGTTTTCTTCTTCTGCCATGTAGGTCCTAGGGACGAACTTAGGTCATAAGGCTTGGCAGCAAGCCCCTTTCCTTGCTGAGCCACCAGGACAGCCCTTATGGTTAGTTTTAATTGCCAACTTGACACACCTAGGAAGACTCTGTTCATATTATCTTGATTATATTAATTGAGGGAGAAGGTCTGTATCCACTGTGGGTGACACCATCCCTTAGGCAGGAGATCCTGGGCTATATAAATACTGAGATGATACTGAGCAGTTGTAGGCATGCATGCATGCATTTTTCTCCCATCTCTTGACTGTGGATGTGACGAGTTGCCTCAAGTTCTTACATTGGCTTCTTCACAGGGATGGACCACAATTGTTGTTTAGTAATTTCTTTCAAGATTACAAACTTCCGTCTTGGAGGAAAGCTTATTAAACCACAGATGATTAAAAGAGAGGTGAAGCAACAGGATGGTCTAAGGGGATGTGAACTATTCCATCCTTCAAGGGATCTCATTAATCTTATGAAGTAAACACAACTCACTAGCTTCAGGAAGTAACTGAAACTGATCAGATTTATTAGGCCTCATCCTCTTCAAGCCTAGATGAGTAATGAAGACCACCACAAGATGGTCTTAGGCAAGGTGAGCTTCCTGGAAGAGCACAGACCAGCCTTCTTGCCTGGGAAAGGTTTACACTAGCTGAGTTAACTGCAAAGGGAGCTGCCTACAGGTGCGTAGTGGGCTCTGTGTTTCCAGTTTTCATGAGCTATTGCCCATGGTCAGGTGAACTTTGGTAATGAACTGTCTTTGAGTTATTTCTGATCCTGTAGGCAACCCCTTTGTTAGTATTTAGGCATCTGTACTGGCCTGCCTTTGGAGTTCTGACAAGATATACCCTCAGCTGCTGCCACTAAGAGTGCCACCTGTGCCTATTAATTATGTTCTTTTTTAAAAGAGACCTGCCTGGGCTGGAGAGGTGGCTCAGTGGTTAAGAGTAGTGGATATTCTTCCAAAGAACCCAGGTTAAATTCCCAGCACCCACATGGTAGCTCACAACTGTCTGTAACTGCAGTTCCAGGGGATCTCATACCCTCACACCAATGCACATAAAATAAAGTTAAACAAATTATTAAAAGAAAACTGCCCAACTCCCATCTCTCTCTGTCTGGTTTTCTCTCTCACTCTCTCTGTCTCTGTCTCTGTCTCTCTCTCTCTCCCCCCTTTCTCAGTCTTTCAATCCTCTGTCTGTTTGTCTTTCGTTCCTCTCTCCTGATGCTCCTGTCTTTGGAGGCTGGTCCCTTGCCCGGTCCAGGGGACAATCAACATGTGACTGGGGACACCTAGGAGAGAGATGGGGGACAAGAGAGACAAGAAACGGACACCAAGATAGTATTCTGATCAAGGTGACAGCCTTTATTTCTTCCAAGGGGGTTTATAGAAGGCCATAGGCAGGAAGTGAGGAGGAGAGGGGAGGGGGGTGCAGACTGCAGCTGTGAGGAAGCTGGCAGGGCAAGAGGTCAACGGGAGGGGTAGAACACCCTGGAAAACCTAACCGTTGGGTCTGATGTTATCTTATGCAATCCGCTGTCTATTGCTCAAGCTTGTCTTTACGGACTTGGTAGTTTTC